ATACGGATCTGAATTTATTCAGATATTCATTTACTATCATCCATTTACTATAATTATCCGAATACGTACGTACGTACCTTCGAATATCTGTGCGATTTTGAATTATTCAGATAATTAGATATGGATAAGACGGATTCAAATTCTACACAGTATACGCGCTTTATTTAAGTTAGCACTCTTAAAAGAGTAAAAAAAAGATAATTTTTTTAACTATTGACCAATCAGGCCAATTTGATCAATTTGACCAATTTGACCGTGGTCAAGTTACACTTTTAGCTACTGATAATCAATCAGACCAATTTGACCACGGTCAAATCAGCCGAACTGGTCAATTCTCATCATTTATAAGTTTTAGCTGATAATCAATCAGACCAATTTGACCGCGGTCAAATCAGTCGAACTGGTCAATTCTCATCATTTAAATTCGATTTAATTTGTTGTATGTCTTTTAATGTATAACACTCATATGTTACTGTTGAAATTTTTTTTTTTATAGTTGAATAAATGCAATGCAATGACAATGGCATAGTTTAAATTCTGAACTAAACAATACATAATTTATTTAAGTTAGTACTCTTTCTAAGGTAGTAAAAAAAAAAAAAATTTTTTTTAAACCAATTTAACTAGAGGTTTTATCATGTTTCATAATTATTAATCATATGTTACTGTTTGAAATTTTTTTTACAGTTAAAATAATGCAATATGTAATAGCAGAGCTCGAATTCTCACAATATATGCGCTTTATTTAAAAAAAAATTTTTATCTAATCATCATCGTAAATGCATTAGATATAGCTACTGATCATCAATCAGACCAATTTGGCCGCGATCGAATAGGTTAAACTGGTCAAATCGGTCAAGTTACATATCATAAGCATCATTTTTATCATTTAAATTTGATTTAATTGTTGAAAGTCATATATTACTGTTGAATTTTTTTTTTTTACATAAGTACAGTAATGGTAATGGTACCATTACCGTTACTGCATTGTGTTTATTCAACTATAAAAAAAAATTTCAACAGTAACATATGGGGTGTTATACGTAGCTAAAACTTATAATTGATGAGATCGACTAGATTCAAATTGGTCTGATTGATTATCAGTAGCTAAAACTTATAAATAAGTGTAACTTGACCAGATTAACCACGGTCAAATTGGTCTGATTGGTCAATAGTTAAAAAAAAAATTTTTTTTTTTACTATTTTAAGAAGAGTGCTAACTTAAATAAAGCGCGTATACTGCGTAGAATTTGAATTCGTCTTATCCATATCTAATTATCTAAATAATTCAA